GTCCACTTGTCTTATATCAAGCCAATAATCTTTTAAATATTTTGGTATGGTGTCTTGTGCAGACAGACATACACGCTTTATGAACTTACTTGTTCTGCATTTATATATTAAGCACCTCTTATATGCAAAGCGCTGTAAATAGGGGATATATATATATATATATATATATATATATATACAGCAGATTGTATCCCTGCTCATGAAATGCTTATTCTAGTCTTGGATACTGGCAGTAAGCACACGATTAAGAGGCATGTATGGTTATAAGAGGTGATCAGTTCTCTAGAAGAGGAATAAAGACAGGAAGCTGCTGTTTTAATTGGGCTTTTCTCTGGAAGTAACACTAAACGGACCTCACTGGAAGGAGGTGGGAACAAGCAGATAGCCAGAAGTGCATTTCAGGTAAAGGAAGCTGGGACACAGCAGGCTTTATCCATGTGCACAATAGCTTGGGACCCATTGTGACTAAGGTGCACTCAGGGAGGGGGTGGTAGTTAGCCAGGGGTGAGGTCTTGGAGGGTTTAGAGATCACAGCAAGTACTCCATCTTCTTCTCTAAGGATTATTAAACTTTGAGCTAAGATGCGATCCATGTTGAAAGGATCATTCTGGCTGTGTTGTTGGGGCGTTAGTAGAAGACAGGTGGACAGTAGGTACCGTTGGAGCAGTCCTGGCAAAAACTTCAAGAAGCATGGGCAAGGGAGGTCCTGTTAGCTGGGGAGAATCACTTGGATGCAAGGTATATTTTCAAGGTGGTTCCAGCAGGATCTGCTGGGGAGTTAAGGCTTTTGACTTTTAGCACTGAGGGAATACAGGTGCCATTAGCCAAGACAGGGAACACGAGGAACAGCAATTGTGGAAGGAGGGAAAATTCAGTTGTGGGTGTGACGAACTTTGAGATGCCTAGTGACATAAGCAGAGATGTTGAATTATTATTAACAGTAATGTGGGCCAGAATTCTAGGGAAATTTGGGGCTTAAGTAAAAATTTAGGATAAGATCTAACATATTTTTCAGAAGAAATTCTAACACTCTAATTTACACAGAGTTGTTTTTATTGCAGGCAAAACCATATGGCATCGTTGACACGAAGCCCAAGATATTCCCAGTAAGTCTCAAAACTCCAGTTTTTCACTTGTACGTTATCCCCTCCCATTCTACACATGATTGCCAGGTTCATCGGGATAAATGCCCTTTCTTACTGTCAGCTTAAGTGTGTTTGTGCATTATTGGAGGAGGAAAAAGGATAGTATGAAGTAGCAACTGAATTTGAAAACGAGGAGTGGACACTATTTCTTTTTTTTAATTGTTATTTATTGAGCTCTACATTTTTCTCTGCTCCCCTCCCTGCCTCTCCCCTCCCCCTTCAACCCTCCCCCAAGGTCCCCATGCTCCCAATTTACTCAGGAGATCTTGTCTTTTTCTACTTTCCATGTAGATTAGATCTATGTAAGTGTCCTCATTGTTGTCTAAGTTCTCTGAGATTGTGGTTTGTAGGCTGGCTTTCTTTGCTTTATGTTTAAAAACCACCTATGAGTGAATACATGTGATAATTGTCTTTCTGTGTCTGGGTTACCTCACTCAAAATAATGTTTTCTAGCTCCATCCAGTTTTCTGCAAAATTCAAGCTGTCGTTATTTTTTTCTGCTGTGTAGTACTCCATTGTGTAAATGTAAATTTTCCTTATCCATTCTTCGGTCAAGGGGCACTTAGGTTGTTTCCAGTTTCTGGCTATGACAAACAAAGGTGCTATGAACATAGTTGAGCACATGTCCTTGTGGCACAACTGAGCATCCTTTGTCTATATATCCAAAAGTGGTATTGCTGGGTCTTAAGGAAGACTGTTTCCTAATTTTCTGAGAAATTGCCACACTGAAATCCAGAGGGGCTGTACCAGCTTGCATTCCCACCAGCAATGCAGCAGTGTTCCCTTTTCCCCACAACTTCTCCAGCATAAGTTGTCATCAGTGTTTTTGATCTTGGCCATTCTTACAGGTGTAAGATGGAATCTCAGAGTTGTTTTGATTTGCATTTCTCTGATGACTAAAGATGGCAAACATTTTCTTAAGGGGAAACTATTTCTTAACCATGTTTTATGACCTTGACTGCTCTAGAGCTGAAGGAACACCCCCCCCCCCCCATCCCCAGCTTTTCAAGGGTAAAGGACTACAGCGGAAGCCTGAAGCGGTACCTTTTGTTAATTCAAATTTAAATTAAATTGGGTGTGTTGGGTCACACCTTTAACCCCAGAACTCCTCTGCTGTGTCAGGAGGATATCTGAGTTGGAAGCCAGCTTGGCCTACATAGTGTGTTTCAGGACAGCCAGGGCTATATAATGAGTTCCTATCTCAAAAACAAAGATTTAGTATTTTGACATAAAGTACTAAATCTTGTAATGATAAGTAGTATTTTTTTGATTGTGGCAATGGTCTCATAGGTATATCCACACTTAAGTTATATTATACAGTTTAAACATGCACTTTATTCTGTCTATGGTGCTTTAATTTTTAGGTCCTCATAGAAACAATATACATATATATTATATATTATCAGTTGGTTGTTGGAGAGGCTGTTGTTTACTATGCTAAAATATAGTTTCTGTCTCTGCTTACACGTAATGAGTGAACTGCCATAACTGTAAATCCAGAAACTTCCATTAAGTAGCTTATGCGACAGTGGTCTGTATCAATGCAGCATGAGACTGTTAGAGAGAGCCATCAAAACTGGCTCACTGTCCCTATCGGAACTCTACTTCAGGAAACTTCTGTTATTTACGGACATGTGATGGATGTGTGTCAGACCCCAGGTATACTCAAAATAGGACGTTCACTTACTGGTTTTGTCAGTTGACTAATTAGTATTTATTCTTGCTTGCCTGGTTATTTATTTAATTGTGTGTTTATTTTGCCATTCATGTACAAAGGCTAAGGCCTGGCCCTGTTTTAAAGACCTTATCAGGGGGTTTGTTGAGTTTCTTTTCTTTTTTTTTGCTATAGTGGTTCTTTCCTGTTTCCATGTTGTTGACCACTTCCAGAATCTTCCATTTTGAGAAACTACATAATGGCCATCTAATTTAGACTAGAACAAGCTATGATAGTTCTGGCTTAACAGAACTTGCTTTCTCTCTCCTGAGGTGATAGACTAGTGTCGGTTAGGCTGTCCTCTCCAGTCTGTCTTTTCTCAGTCCTTATTAAGATGAATGCCAGAGTATAATAGCTTTTCCATACAGTGTCTGAGCATGGAGCAGAGTACAGTGAGCACCTATCCAGGCTTAATCTCTTTCTGAAAACTGGAGGTGGAGGCTGAGAGTAGATGGAAGGAATAAGATACTAAATCTTATAATGCTGTGTGTTATTATCTGGATCTCACAGGTGTATCCATACTTCAAAATTGTGTTATACAGTTTAAATATGTACTTTATTATGTCTATAACTTTTTATGTTCTAATGCAATAATTTGATTAATTTTGTAGCTTTATATATATCAGTATAGGTGAAAATATAGCATCCAAATTGAAATATTTTTAATTATTTATTTTTATGTACATTGGTGTTTTTCCTGCATGTATGTCTGTATGAAGGTACCAGGTCCCCTGGATCAGGAGTCACAGGCATGTGAGCTGCTATGTAGGTGCTGGGAATTGAACCTGGGTCCTCTGGAAGAGCAGCAGTGCTCTTAACCACTGGCTGGAGCCATCTCTCGAGCCCCCAAATTGAAATGTTTTAAGTAAAATGTTTGTTTGGTTGGTTGGTTTTTTGAGATAGGGTCCCTATAGATAGTCTTGTCTGTTCTGGAACTTGCTGTATAGACCAGCCTGGCTTCATACAGAGATCTACCTACCTCTGCCTCTAGAGTGCTGGGATTAAAGGTGTGTACCACCATGCCTGGCTTAATTTTGAGTTAATGAACGGTAAAATATGTTTATAGTCATTTGTTGTATTAAACAAATGTTGAAATATTTCACAACAAAATGTATATTTAATGAAAAAATTTATATTAAGCATTTACTTGTTTTTCCTAGGGTGATACAATTCTGGAGACTGGAGAAGTAATTCCACCAATGAAAGATTTTCCTGATCAACATCATTAAAGAGCACATAAAAACTTAAAAGACTTGTGTAATAGCAAAAGTCTCTTCATATAGTGCTGTATTTACTGATCTGTTTCCTGGAAGTAACTAATAAAGCTTATTCTCAGAGTGCTGTTATTTTCTTTCCAGAGTCGTCTGATTTGAGACTAACAGTAAAAAGGCAAATACCAAACAGAGCCATCAGCATGCAAAATACGTTTTAGTCACAATAGATTTGTTTATGTACTGATTTGGCAAGAGGATATGTAGTGATATATTTCATTTGTATTTTAATAAATAAAGCTTGCCTGAAGATCAGTGAGTAAAATAAGTCACACTGATCAGCCTTCCAGACCAGGCATTGGTGACACACACTTTTAAGCCCAGTAGCCACACTAGTTTGTCATAGATACCGGGTGGTAGTGGTGGTGCATGCCTTTAATCCCAGCACTAGGGAGGAGTATAAAACGGTGAAGACAGCTCTCACAGTCTCATTCTGAGTTTCCTGGAGGCAGGATCAGTCGTTTCAGACTGAGGTGAGAGCCAGTGACTGGCTGCTTTGCTTTTCCGACCTTCAAGATGAACCCCAATTATCTGTCTCTGGGTTTTTATTAGTCGTGCTACAAGGATATGAAATGTTTGAAGCACTAGAATGAAAATCTATGACCTGATACAAAAACGGCTGTAACATCCATTTTAAAAATTAGCTTGTTAGGCCGGGCGGTGGTGGCGCACGCCTTTAATTCCAGCACTCAGGAGGCAGAGGCAGGCGGATCTCTGTGAGTTCGAGACCAGCCTGATCTACAAGAGCTAGTTCCAGGACAGGCTCCAAAACCACAGAGAAACCCTGTCTCGAAAAACCAAAAAAAAAAATAAAATAAAATAAAAATTAGCTTGTTAACGCTTATCACAAAAGACAATATGCAATTTGGATTGTTAATTTTACTTTTAAGTCTACATAGGTGCCATTTGGGGGAAAAGAACTGTGTTTGCTAAGAATTACCAAAGTTCGTTCATTTCAAAGAATTTATCTGGAAACTCCTTGTGCAGCTGTCTTCGCGCAGCTACAGTTGATGCATAAATGACGAATCCCCAGGAAAGCAAGACGATCACAAGTAGCAACTAAAGGGGAAGGAAAGGGAGGGGAAAAAAATCAATGCGCTGGGTCCTTTCTCGGCTTAGGCCAGGTTACTAGCTACAGGTGGGAGCAGATTGTCGGAGTCACTCAAAGGCAGCCTCGGGGCCTGGCCCCGGCAGCGCTGACGTCAGGGGCGGAAGAGCGTGTCCTCCAGGAAGAGGAGGAGCTGAGAGCTGGGCGTAAACGCTCAAGTTAGGAGTGGGTTTTGGGGTTCCGAACTGCTAGCAAACAGTCGGCCTTCGGCTTGCGGGCCGTGGGATGTGGCGCTGTGGAGTTCCAACGCCCGGGTTACCTACCACGGAGTAAATCCAGTCCAGGGTGCGGCGACTCACTGGCCTCATGGTAAGGGAGCGGCGGGGACGGGGTGGCGCGAACCCTAGAGCCCGCTCCTGGGCGCCGTCCACCCCGCTGCAGCAGCCATCTTTCCGCGGTCCCAGGCGCGCTTCCGCCCAGAGTTGGAGCGCGTCACGTGATCCGGGCCTAGCCCGCCTTTCAGGCAGCGGAGGAAATTAAAAAGAGAAAATGTTAAAATCGCGCTTTTTTTGCGCTTACACGGGCATTTCTCAACTCTTTTATCTCCAGTCGCAGTGCGATACTAACGCAAAATAGCATGCCATCGTGTGCATTTAAGTTTATTTGAAAATAGTTAACGCTGGGAGAATTAAAAGTTGCCGCCCCACACCCGCATCCGTTTCTACAAAATGTGGATAGACGTTCATATGTTTATGTTTGGCATGAACAATATCATCCACTCGTTTATATAACTAAAGAATCGCTGGAAACTTAATTAGGCCGTTCATCAAGAGCGACTAGTCAGAATACTGTCGCTTACTGCTGGAAATATTTTTAAATATGTGGCGTTTTAAAATGACTTGTTGACGGGACGTTTATGGAGTCTAGGACCTCAGCAAGTGTGGCCTGCTAAGCCTCAAGCAAGGCAGTTTGGCAGGCCAGCGTGCAGTTGAGCTCGAGGATGCTGTGTTTGCAGGGGCGGCCTGGCTGGCAGGCCCCGGGGCTGCGCGGCTTGGGGCGCAGAGGTGTCGGATTTAATGTTAATCTAGATTTCGGGGAGCGGGAAATGGGAAGCAGGCCGCTGGGAGAAAGGTCATGGCTGCAGAAGCGCTCGGCGCCTGCGGCTCAACCCAGCTGAAAAAGACGTGAGGACGAGGGCACTGTGGTTGCTCAGTGCAATCCTTGTTACACTAGGGAGAACCCGGGCAGCTTGTCCAGGTTTCGGGTGTCGGGTTTCCGCCCCTTTGGCAGTGGCTACTGCATAGGTGCCTCGTCTCCCCAAAGACGGCGCCCCCCGCGGTGGGGGGCAGGGCAGGGTCTGGTGCCCGGGCGCCCGCCCGCGGCGCATGCGCCGGGCCGGGGGTGGGGCTCTCCGTGCTGCACGGGCAGGGGGTGGGTCTCGCCTTCTCTCCGCCCCCAAACTGCCTTCGGTGATGAGCGTTCTACGTCACAGGGGTCGCAGCCGCCGCCGCCGGGGTCTCCGCTGTCTCGCGAGGAGGGAGAGACGCCCCCTCCGGCGCCTGCAGAGGAGGGGAGGCGCCGAAGCCGCCGGGTACGCCTTCGCGGAACCTGCCGCCACCGGCCGAGCTTACTGGGCCGACGAGAGCTGGCCTCCGGCGGCCCAGCGGGGTCTGCCACCGCATCCTCGGAGGTGAGCAAGCTGGGAACAATGGGCGTGGGGTCGGCGGCTGCGGGAACAAGGCTACGGCCTGGACCTCTGAGGGCCGGGGTCGCGACGTCACCACGGTAGCGGGGCACCTGTGGCTCGGCGGCGGTGGACGAAGGAGGGGAGTGCCTCGCTGCGCTGCCCTAGGGGCGCGAGCTGGACTCGAGATTGGAAGGAGTTGTGTGTCCAAGCAGAGCAGCCACCACCGCTGGAAAGTGTGACCTTGGCAGGTCCCCAGCCGGGACCCTGTCTGTGAGCTGGGAGTAGCATTTCAGTTGCTCGGGTTATGTAACTTACGTGGTGTGGTTGTCTTTCCATACGATCCAGCCGTTTCAGGCTAAGGTAGCCACTAAGACAGGTGGAGTTGTTCAGTGTTTCACATGTGGACTGGGGTTGTATGACCACAACCCCTGTCTCGTTAGTGCTGCTTTCCCGGCCTGGTGGTTTCTGATTTGTAGACTAGAGCGGGCCAGTGAGGAGGTGAGCACAGAGATTTTTTTTCTTTCTTTTTCTTTTTCTTTCTTTTCCTTTTTTTTTCCTTTTTGTTTTTTCAAGACAGTTTGTGTATCTCTGGCTGTTCTAGAACTCATTCTCTAAACCACCAGGCTGGCCTCGAACTCACATAGATCCTCTGGTGCTGGAATTACAGGCATGTGCCACCACTGCCTGCCTGTAAGCACAAAGATTTAAAAAGCAAAAGGAAACTGGGAAGCATTTTTGATGAGTACATTTCTAGATTAAGGGGGGGTGGGGAGACGAGAAACAGGTGCCCAAGGCTCCTAATAGGTAGAGATTGTTGTCTGGGAGGATTCGAGGGTTTAGATTTTTAGTGCATGAAAAGCTCTGCTGTTGGCCACGATCATACTTCCCTGGAGTGAGTGGCTTTCACAGCAAATATAATTCCAATGTTGCTCATCCCCCATTTTGGGGCAGTGACCCTGGTAGCCAAGACTAGTTTGGAGTTCCTTATGTAGCAGAGGATGACCTTGATTTTCTGGCTCTCTTGCCTTCATCTTCCAGTATGCTGGGACTATAGGATGTCCCAGGGTACCTGTCTCCGATAAATTCTTTTTATTAGTGGTACTTGAAATTCTAGCCCAAGCCTTTAATCCCAACACTCAGGAGGTAACCTACAGAGTGAGTTCCAGGACAGCCAGTGCTACACAGAGAAACCCTGTCTTGAAACCTCCAATAAGAAACTAAATTTGGTCATTTATGTCATACAACTTTTAGATGATTTAAACTACTCAGATTCGCAAGTAGAACCCAGATTGCTTTTAACAGTCATTGTTCCTGTTTATCCACTTGTGAACGTTGTTAACCACCTTGCTTAAATACATTAAGCATATAATTGTTAATTACTTATTTGCTATTGACTATTTTGGAAACCCCTCAGAGTTGCTGTGACCGTCAAACTTTTCCGTATTCTTCCTGTACGTAGAGCACTGTGCTAAGTGCTGAGTGACATGAGTTACATCCCTCCACAACCTTTTGTTGTCCTCTTTCAAATGACTACCAGTATTCCATTTTAGAGTTGAGAATATCTGAGAAATAACTTCGTCCCAGCTTGGTCTCTGGGGACTTCAAACTAAGAAGTGGTTGGTGATTCTAACCAGACGTGGTGTCACCAGCCTCTAATTCCAGCACTCAGAGGACAGAGGCAGGCAGACCTGAGTTGCAGGTCAGCCAGGGGTCCATAGTGAGACTTGGTTCTTCCCTACCCCCCCCCCCACAAGTGGCAATTCTCAGTATTGACTGATGCTACATTAAAGTTAACATTGCTAAAGTACAGTCAGATGGTTAAATTCTCTGTCCAGTGATAATTTAAGGAATACTATAGAAGATAATTTTTATAGAAGTCTTGACTTTTAAAGGGGGAGAAAAAGAAAACTGTAAAATTCATGCAGTTTTCCAAACTCCCAGTCTAGCTTTCATTAAATTTCACTTCTGATTCTTTTTCGGTACCTATTTTCCCTGGATATGTTTGATCCTGTTTTCTGAAATTTCCCCCAAATTATGGCATAAAGGGTTTTTATCTTTGTTAGAATCTGCAGATTTGAAGATTTAGGAAAGGCAAAGTTCAGTGCTTCCTTAAGTTTTGGATTTGGCTGTTTTAGAAGTAGGAGCAGAGCAGGTTCATCTGCTCTGGGGGAGCAAATTTGTAGTCCTAAACCTTAGGTTTCTTGGGTAGAGGAACATTTATGAGGCTTCTTCTAAAAAAACGAATATCCTGAAATATAAAATATAAACAGTTCCATATTTACAAATCTTGTGCAAATCTCCCATTTCAGGTTTCTAGCTATCCCAGTGTGATTGTTAGTGTATTCACCTAGGTGTGTGTCATCATCCGGATCTAATTATGGGACATTTTCATCTTCCCAGAAAGAAGTCCCATAGCCAGCTCAAGTCATCTTTTCCTCTTTATAGATAGGACTGTTTGGGTCATTTTATGAATGACACCATTTAGTAGATGGGTTTGTGTGTGTGTGTGTTTTGTTTTTTATTTATTAGAATGTTATGTTGTAGATTCAGTACTTCATTACTTGTTATTGCTAAGTAGTTTTGTGTGCATACCTTTTTTATATAACCCACTAGGTCAGGTTAGTGCTGCCTTATGCATATCTGGCTGTATGGGTGATATACTGGGGGCATGGGCATCAACCATCAGTATAGCCTCAGGGTGGGACTTAGAGAGTCCTACACACACACACACACACACACACACACACACACGATTCTCTGGAACTGGAGTTATAGATGTGATTGTGAGCCACCATGTTGGTATGAGAACTAGGCCTGGATCCTTTGCAGGGGACATCTCCCCAGCCAGTGACCACAGCTCCTCTGAGTTGTCAAGCACTCAGTTTGTTATTCTCAGTGCTTTGATGACCAGTAATAAGTCTCTGCATTACCAAAAATAAAAAAAAAACGGCTCTGACCAAGGTTGGGAGCAGAATTAGCAAAACCATCAGTTCCCCGTTGAGCCAGTGACTTCCCCAGCCTGGGTTTGACCGTGTTGATAGTACCAAACCACATTTTGTTAATCCGTCAGTTGATGGACATGACATTTCAATGACCACATTTGAGATACCAGTAACTAATCTGTGACTTGGGAATTTTGTTTGGGTATATTTTGTATTTTCTTTTGAGTAAGTACCAACAGATGAATTGCTAAGTCACACAATGATTCTACTTCATTTGTAGTTTAATAGTCAATTTTAATATTTAGTGCTGATTTTCGAACAGATAATCTCTTATTACCATTAGATTGATATTTTATGTTTCTAACTAGCACTGTATTGTGTAGCTAAATATATTGAGTGGAACTACAAGAAAAATCTAATTGTTATTTTTACCTGTTGGTCAGTCTTTAGTCTTATGCTGTCAAAGAAATATGTTTCTCAAAATTAGAAAAGATTTAAGGATCAGTTTTATCAAAAAGTGTACTTCATTGATGTTTGGAGTTTGCAGTCTAGTATTCTGTAATTAATCCTGAGTTGTGATTTCTTTTCCTTTGTTTTTCTTTTATGGTACTGGAAATAGAAACCAGGACTGCCTTACCTGTACCAGACAGGCCTACCACTGAGCTACATATATTCCAAGGTCTGAGTTGTAAATTTCTTTTGTATTAGAAATGTTTAGTAAACACTAAAATTCTTCCTTCCAAAGAAGCAAATTAAGATAAAATGTGTTATATCTTGAAATTTACTGATCACTTTTTTCAACTCTAATCTATTATGTTGAGGGGTCAACTAAAGTCAGTGCTGCAGGTTCCTCTGGTTTGGGGGCTAGTTTTAGTTGAAGCCTGCCT